AGCCTAACCAGATTTTCCCCATTTTGTTTTGTGTATTTGTTTTTTCTTCCCTGCTTGTACATGTGAAATTTGCCTGTGTTGAACTCCACATAGTTGTCCATAGTCCAGTTTTCCAATTTAAGATCCTTTCAACTTTAATCTTTTCTTCCAAAGAATGTGTAGCCTTTCCCAGTTTTGTGTTTGCAGATGTGTTCAGTATATTACCTATCTGCATCCAAGTAATTAATAAAAATATTTAAACAGCACTCAACAGCAAACAGGCCCCTCTGGACTTCTATTTGAGACCTCCTGACAGTTTATTATTGATCCATTTAATAGTTACTCTTTGCTTGAATTTATTAAACCAATTATGTATTCAGATTATAGTGTTTTGTCTTGTCTACATTTTTTCTGAGACTGGCACAAAGGGACTTACAAAAGCCTAGGCACAGTGTGTCCACTGGGTTCTCATATCCATCAATCCAGTTACTATGTCTGACATGGAAATCAAGTTTGTCACATGATTTGTTTTTAATAAATCTCTGTTGGTTTCTAGCAAGCTTCCCCTTATCCTTCTGGTACTTACAAGATGGCTGCTTATTGTAATTTTCCTGTAGTTACTCCTTAGACATTAGACAGCTCAGGTCAACATATCAGTAGTTCCTCAAGTGCTCCTTTTCCTTGTTTTGTTTTTAAAGGTGGGTACTATTTTAGCCCTTCTCCAGGCCTCTTGGATCTCACCTGTCATCTAAAATACCGCTGTCAAATCGGCAATCTGCAGGCTGCACCTGGCATGTGATGCTCCAGCTACTGCATGGCAGCAGCTGCAGTCTCTGGGGCAAGAGGCCTGGTGAGCATTAGTGTCAGAGTGGGGCTCTGGCAGGGGACCTGTGCTCCAACCATGGCAGAAGTGCAGGGGATCATCCACACAACGGTGGGAATGGGGAGGCTCGTGTGGTGGGAGGGTAGAAGGATGGTCGCATCACGGTAGACTGCCTGCATGTCATTGGTACTTACCCAGACCTGTACTTCTATTAAGATTTTTTTTTCTTCTTCAGGCCTTCAAAAATAAAGCACATGTTCGGTTCAGGGGTGAAGTGTATGCAAAACGATCCCTGTTGGCTCGTTTATGGTATCACAATCGGTATCCTTCTCCTTCTTTAATGGTTAATTTTGGTAGTCACCTGGGCTGTTCTGGCATTTTCATGAGGATTAAATTAGAACAGGTATTGAGCAGCTCTCCCTTCTTTGTGTTGTCTATCAGGAGTTCACCGTCTCCATTTAGAAGCAGATCCATAGTTTCACCAATCTGTCTCATCAGTCATATATTTAAAGAACGTCGTTCTGTTGTCTTGGATATTTCCTGTGAGCAAAGGCTGTTTTCACTCATAGTTGCTGTTTAACAATTGGGATAAGCTGGAAAAACAAGTGTAAAATAAAAATGATGGGTTCGTGTGCAAAACCTAAATTTTCACACACTTTTTTCTTAAAAAAAAAAAAAAAGAGTAGCAAATATGAAAAAATGATTTAGGAGAGAGAGAAAAATCTTTCACGCAATTTTATAACTTTCCACCTTATTTTCATTGAGGATAAAGGGAGAAAGCATTTTTAAAAGAAGCCTAAAGCGAACGAGAGTTAGGAATCCCTCCAAAATTACCCAAGCAAATTTGTATTTGAAAATCATACAGAATTTTCATTTTGTTTCTAACTGTAATTGTGTTTAGAAAATAGTCATGTGGAATCTACATTTCTAGAATAAAAATATCATTTTTTCAAGGGAAAAAAAATCTCATTTGACTAGAACTATTCATGAATTCGTTTTTAAAAATAATTCTTTCTTTCATAACATTAGACATGCCTATCCAATAAGGATCCAGGGTTCTTTGTAATGTTACAGAAATAAATGAACTTCACTGAAATAAATACATTTGCCGCAAAATGAAAATATCATATTTACACTTTATGCATTTTATGTACTGCATCCATTAATGTTTTGTCCCTGTGACTTCCTGTAGGAATATAGAACTAAGGTAAGATGATAAAACAGTGCTTCTGCCCTCCTGCACTTGTCCCAGGACCTGTCCACTTCAGGACTCTGAGTTTCTAAAATCCCCGTGTGTTGCATACCCCTCCACTTGCTGTTTCTTCCACTCCTTTCTCTCCTTGCCCTTTCTCCCTTTTTTCCTACTTCAGTTCTTCTGATTTTTCTCTCACTTACTGCCCCAGTTTTTCTTTCATTTTTGTACCACAATTATCTCCAGTTTTGTGCCTCCCCCTGCTCACAGTTCTTCACAATGGCAAAAGAAAGCATAGAGTCCCTCGTCTTGCCAGTGCAGAGGTTGGGGAAGAAACTCCTTCTATGTAGCACATTCTGCATTGCAGTGGATTCAGGCTTCCTGCCCTGTCGAACTATACTCAAGATGTGCTTCAAAGCAAAGGAATAGCAAACCACAGTCTGAGGAGTGAATTCTCTCCTCTCTTCATCTTGCCTTGAAAGTAAAGAGAGGCCTATGAAAGAAAGCCCCTGCTATTTTTAGGGTAGGTAAGAATACAGGAATTAGAGTAGCACTCGTATATCTTTTTTCACAGCAGGTTGGAAAGGCCACAGCAAACCCCAAGCCACTGCAGTCTTGACAGGAGTATCTTGTTCTGTATATGAAAAAAGTATGGGACTGCTGCCTGTCGAACATGATTTTATACTCTGACAGTGTGCATATCTACTGTAAACTCCACAATCTTATGACAGAGGCAGGTAGTTCGTGTTCCTTTATATACCCTTCTGTCTTTCGTTTGCTCTTCCTGGACCTTGGTTGTCTCGCTGGTGATAATGCCACTGCAATTTTTCCTGTAGACACATTCCAGAACGTGAGTAAGCACTTAACAGAAGTGAATCCTGCTCTGAGGTATCCTGACAAGTACTGTTGGTGACATATTCCTTTCCCTTTTACACCGTTCAACCATTTTTTGTCACATTTATCCCACACTATCAAACTTTATAAAGAAGTCCATAACTAGTGTGGTGTTTGAGATTTCACAGCTCAAAGGTTGTATATACACATGATGAAAAAGTGATCAATTATCACTATTTTATTATTATCATTATTTTATTGTTGAACATTGTGTTGGGGGGGGAAGGGGGAGGCTAAAAGCAGTTAATTTTTATACAATTAATTCTGCTTGTTTACTTCTAAAATGTCCCCAACACCAATTAATATTGATTTATGTAACTGTCTTGTGCCATAATGAGTCATCTAATTGTTTTGACATTAGCTTCTGAAATGTTTCCTGGTATTTCTACATTTTAATTAGACATATTTTTAAATTTATGTCTTAAAATATATTGTCTATAATTGGAAAAGTTATTATTTATTACACTTAATTGTTGGTATTAAAAGGGAAAAAAGATTTTGATCAATTAAATTCACAGTTGTCAAGTGGAACATTGTGCAATGAAAGTTTCATCTTGATAATAGATCAGGGTGTTTTTTCAAATGTATGTTTTATACAGACTATAAATGATCATACCAGACCTCAATGAGTAATTTATTGTTTAGTTCAAAGCAGCTGTTCAATTAAAAATGTTCAGCTTTGACCTATCTTCATTATTTTAAGATAATGGATTAATTGACTGAACGATTTTATGTTTTGACAGGGAAAAATTATCATTTGACAAAAATAAATTAGTTCATAAATCATGCTGATTTACTAATGGATTGTGTAATAAAAGGGTTGAACATTTTATTAAAAAATTCAGCAGGGATAAAGTTTGAACCTATTCAGGCCCTCCTGTTCATTCCTGTTTTCTTCATTATATAGGCTAGTGATTAAGACAAATTGCATCTCCCACTTCCTATAGGACAACTTGGAGAGACAATTTATAAATGTAGGACTTATGTCTAATTATTTTACATGGCTGCTTATACTAGATGTACATGTATAGGGTTTTCACTTCCTCCTCTTTTGTCCGTGTCAAAAAAGACTGCAAGTTGTTTCCACAGTAAGACCTTTCAATGGGAAGCCTTAGTGCCAAAAGTCAGTTTGATTCTATAAGGATACTGGAAACAATGCTTATGAATTTCATTGAGGGTACACCCCTTACAGTGAAACATTAAATCCCATTTCTATCTATATAAAATAAAATTATCTATATTCTATATACAAAATGACACCCTCAACAAGTTCACAGATGACATCAAGCTAGGAGGAGTAGTAGATATACTGGAGGGTAGGGCTAGGATTCAAAGTGACCCAGGAAAATTGGAGGATTGGGCCAAAAAAATCTCATCAGGTTCAACAAAGACAAGTGCAAGGTCCTGTACTTAGGATTCAACAATTCCAGGCACCACTACAGGCTTAGGATAAACTGGCTGGGCAACAGCTCTGCAGAAAAGGACCTGGGGGTTACAGTGGACAATAAGATGGATATGAGTCAGCAGTGTGCCCTTGTGCAGAGGGCTAATGGCATACTGTGCTGTATTAGTAGGAGTGTTGCCAGCAGATCAAGGGAAGTAATTATTCTGCTTTATTCTTCACTGGTGAGGCAACATCTGGAGTACCGTGTCATTTTGGGCCCCCTGTTATAGACACGATGTGATTAAGTTGGAAAGAGTCCAGCAGAAAGTGACAAAAATGGCTAGGGGGCTAGGGCACATGACTTGTGAGAAGAGGCTGAGGGAACTGGGCTTGTTTAATCTGGAGAAGAGAAGACTAAGGGAGGATTTGATAGCAGCCTTCAACTACCTGAAGGGTAGTTCAAAGTGAATGGAGATAGACTGTTTCAGTGTTGGCAGATGAGCAGGGGGTTGAACTAGATGCCCTCTTGAGGTTCCTTCCAGCCCTAATTTTCTATGACTCTATGATTCTATGACTCGGGTGAAAAAGGCATCGAGTCAAACACACAGACAATCCTGGGTAACTTATCTTCCAGGCACAGGATCTGGTGCCTGGTTCCTCTTCCTCTTCCCTTTCATACTCTTCCTTCCAGTGAACTGCTGGCAAACTGACCCGTTTGCTGTCCCTGGACATTCATTCCCTGATTCCCTCAGGGAGTCGTCTTTTATATTGACCTGGGACTGGACTGACTGTGCCCCCTTGTTGGCCTTTTGTGGTTACAGATCAAGATATTTTGATATTGTGTTCTTGGTAACCTATTAAAGTTTGCCTGGATTGTCCTAAAAGGACTATTCTGTTTATATAAGAGCACTCTGAATGGTAGAGCAACACACAAGAGAGAATAATTTAGTACTGAGGGTGTTGGATGGGACTTAGAAGAGAGAAATTCAGTTCCCAGTTCATTTGGGAAACTGAGACAGAGTTTCCTAAGAGTAAAATGGCACAGCACTTCTCTGTTTTGCAGGCGGTTGAGAGAATAAGCATATTAAAGACTGTCAGGTGCTTAGATAATATGTAATTTGGCAGTAGCATAACTGGTAAGGCATGAGAGGGACACAACTGGGACAGCTGCCCTGAATGCTGCCTTTGAGGGAAGGGAATGCAAAAGGAAGTACTACCACCACAGAGAGCATGGCAGATAGCCACGCTTGGAGATTCAGCCCCCAAATTGGACTCTATGTAGAGTAGGCCTGTGTGAAGTGGCAAGTATTTGCTTCGGATTCAGATTCAGTGAATCTGAGATTCAGAGATTTGAATTGCTGTCCTGACTCCATTTGGCCGAATCAGATCCGAAAGATTTGGCGCCACTTCAGAGATTCGGCCATAGACTAAACAGCTGGTAAGTCTGTTGGGATTGGAGGAGGGGGGGAAGGGTTGTGGGGGAGGGAGGTATTGGGCCTGGGGCTAGGACAAGTTTCTCACCCGGGGCAGGTGGCACAGGACTTGGGGAGGGTGGTGGAGGGGCACGGAATGCAGGTGTGGCAGCACTCGGAGTGGGGGCTCTGCCTTGCTGCTGCTTGCCCAGCTGGTGCGGTGGGGGGGGGGGTATGATGCAGGCACAGCTTGATCTGGGCAGAAGGAGGCAAGCAGCAGCAGAGCATAGCCCCCGCCCCCAGTGCTGCCACACCCACATCTCACGCCCCCACGCTGCACCAGCTGGCAAGTGGCATCAGGGTAGAGTCCCTGCACAGTCACCGCTTGCCACCTGGCATGGACAGGTAAGCACGGCAGTTCTGGGATCAAGGGCAATGCCCTGCTGCTGCTTACCCCCTTCTGTCCAGAGCGAGTCGTGCCTGCATCCCGCCCCTCCCCACAACCCATCTGGGCAAGCAGCAGCTGGGCATAGCATCTGCTCCAAGCACTACCGCACATGCATCTCGCACCCCTCTGCCCCACCTCCCCAAGTCCTGCACCCCCCGCCCCAGCTGGGCAGCTTGTCCCAGCTCCAGCCCCAATCCCTCCATCCCCTATGCCCCTTCTCTCCCGCCTCCCCCAAGCCCAACAAACTTACCAGCTAGAGGCAGCTGTGTCAGCTGCCTGTTTAGTCTATGGCTGAATCTTTTCTGAATTTTTTTTCTAACTTGATTTGGATGCTTCGAATCGATCAGGAACTTTTAATTGGTGTCACAATTACATTCAGAGATTCAGCCCCCAAATTGGGCTGAATCTCCTCTGAATCAAATCGGCTACTGAAGCTTTGCATAGCTTTAATGTAGAGCCACTCCCCAAGGAGTTATGCCTTGTAATTGAGACCACATAAGCAAATTATCTGGACTGATGCAAAGAGACTAGCCATAGGTTAGTGAACAAATTCAGAATTGTTTAGTTGCACTGCAGAATAAGAGGGCTTGTTCTTTTTACACATTTTGTTTTTAAAGTCCATACAGTTATGTAATAACTGTTTGAGGCATCTGGTCTTTTCTTGTTACCTGTCTTGAGCATTCCTCATGTTTCCAATTTAAACAAATTCTCCATCTACTATGCGGATAAGATTAATTCAGCTCTGGGTTAGTTCCATGGGGTTGTGTTAAATCAAACCAGTGAAAAGTAACATTCCCTAGTGGTATTTATCTTGGTTTGAAATTTTAAAAAAAGGAAATGTGGGCTACAAACTGCAAAATTTTTGGTCTTGAGGACCATTCCACCGAGGTTAGAATCTCAGTTGTCTTTTAAGAGAGTTCTACAACACTGTGTTTGAATTTGGCCTTTGTGTACCTCAGGGAGGCAATGTTCTCTTTTAGTTGCATCTAGGTCATGAACTATGGCTATCCTACCATTTTGTCTTACTAATAATATCACAGCATATACTGAAAAGCACAAGAATTTAGATGCTGTTCAATTTTTTTTTCAACAAAAAACAAATCTGGTGGCATATACAGCACAGATTGTTGTGTTTTTTTAGTAAGGGTTTATGAAATGTGCTTTGATCATGTTTTTCAGAACTATTTCTTTGATTTTTTTCATGTTTGATTTTTAAAGATCAGATTTAAATGTAGCTGCTACTTCTATGCCATTTAGCTTCTGGTGTTATTGGAAATTATTAGCCTGTTCAGGTGTCAGAAGGATTGCAGGCCTGTTGAATGACTATAGAAAATAAACAAGAGAAGGTGCCACATAACTAACTAGTAGTAGAAGGGAAAGAGATGCTGGGTTTTTCACTGTCAATAAAGAGGGACAACCATACATGTGGTAGTATAATTTTGTGTTGGCAGCTCGATGCTGGGATGTCAAACTGGATACAATACTTGACCTTTAAAATTCTTACCTTATTAAATAATCATATCTCCTGTCTAGTATCTCAACAATCAAACTAAGAAAATGTCATGGGCCTGGAGATGTCAGGGAGCCAAGCTGTTCAGAAAAAAACAGTTGATAGATATCAGAAGACAAAAATCGCACTCAGTCTAGACAAGAATATTGAAGAGTTCTTTCATTTCAATCAATCATCTGCAAGTATTAGATGATAACATAAGTTACAGTAGAAAAAATCTGCTGCTAAAAAAAGCCACAGTTTGTCTTAAAACAGACAGATAATAAGTAATCTTCTCTACTGAGGTCATCTGTAATTTTTTCTAAACCAGGCATAAACAGTATAGCATTTAGGAGGAATTATATAGATAATAGGACCTCATTCCATCATTTTGTATTTGAATCCTGAACACCTATAATACCAGATTAGCCAGATATTAAAGTCTAAACATCTGTTTATTTAAGTAACAAGAGAATATAGTCTTGCTTCAGCACTTATTAGATAAAAATTGATTGCATGTTTTAACAAGTAGCTCCAGCTGTAGCACGTTTTGTATTACTAAATATTACTGTTAGTGACCAGCCCAGCATGTGCTTTTATTTTAAATTAGTAAAGTTCATAGCATTAAATACAGTTTACTGGAGAATATCCATTTGTTAAGATGGTGTGACACATTTAACACTTACTAAGTGAAATTAAAAGAAAGGGAACAAGGAGGATCCAGTCAGCCTCACCTCAGTCCCTGAAAAATTCATGGAGCAAACTAAGAAAGTATGGATTGGATGAATGGACTGTAAGGTGGATAGAAAACTGACTTGAGTAGCAGGCTTAGAGAGTAGTAATCAATGGCTCAATGTCTAGCTGGCAGCCATTATCAAGTGGAGTGACCCAGGGGTCAGTCCTGGGGCTGGTTTTGTTCAATGTCTTCATCAATGACCTAGAAGACAGCACAGAGTGCACCCTCAGCAAGTCTGCAGTTCACACCAAGTTGGGGGGAGTAGTAGATATGCTGGAGGGTAGGACTAGGTTTCAGAGTGACTTAGACAAATTGGAGGACTAGGCCAAAAGAAATCCCATGAAGTTCAACAAAGAGAATTGCAAGGTCCTGCACTTTGGATGGAACAATCCCACGCAGCACTACAGGCTGGGGGCTGACTGGCTGGACAGCTGCTCTGCAGAAAAGGACCTGGGAGTTACAGTGGACAATAAGCTGATTATGAGCCAGCAGTGTGCCCTTGTTGCCAAGGAGGCTAAAGGAAAAATGAGCTGCATTGGTAGGTCTATTGCCAGTAAGTCAAGGTAAGTGATTATTTCCCTCTATTCAGCACTGGTGAGGCCACACCTGGAGTACTGTGGAGTACAATTTTGGGCCCCCCACTACAGAAAAGATATGGATAAATTGGAGAGAGGCCAGCAGAGAGAAACAAAAATGGTGAAGGGGCTGGGGCACATGACTTATGAGGAAAGACTGAGGGAACTGGTCTTATTTAGTTTAGAGAAGAGAAGACTGAAGGAGGGTATAATAGCAGCCTTCAACTACCTGAAGAGGACTTTGAAAGAGGGTGGCGCTAGACTGTTCTCAGTGGTGGCACATGACAGAACAAGGAGCAATGGTCTTAAGTGTGGCAAGGGAAGTTTAGGTTAGGTATTAGGAAGTAGTTTCTCACTAGGAAGGTAGTAAAGTACTGGAACAGGTTACCCAGACAGGTGGTGGAAGCTTAATATTTGAAGGTTTTCACAGTATTCAACATGTGGGAGCACCATAGATTTGTATAATGGCAAGATGATGCTCTCCATTTTGTTTTCAATTCCTTTCATAATGATACCCAACAGTTTTTTTGTGTTTGTTTGGCTTTTTTTTTGGTTGCTGCTGCACATTAAGTTGACATTTTTAGAGAACTATTTACCATGTTTCCAAGGTCATAGCAACTAGTTCAGAACCCAATATGAGTATTTATAGTTGATGGTGTTTGACCATGCACTTGTCACTGTTTGAAGGTTATCAGCCATTTTTTTGCCCACTCACTTAGCTTGGTGAGATTTTTGTGCAGCTCCTCTTCATCAGTTTGGGATTTGATCACCCTGAATAATTCAGTATCATCTTTAAGCTCAGAGATGTCACTTTAATAAATCTGTATGGAGTCCATGTTGTTTTATGTATCCTGCCGTGAAATCTAAAAATCAGAAATGACTTATTAGGCCATCTTCCCAATACCCTTCAAGACTTCTTGAGGTCAGTTGAAAACTTCCCATTGACTTTACTAGTCTTTGGCTCACTCCTTTATTACAGTGGTTGTCAATTTTTCATTCAGCAGTCTAGATGAGCAGCACCTGGTCCTTCTGTAGACTAGATCCAATTGGTTGACTCAATCCAGCATCTGGGGCAAGCATGGCCTCAATCCAGCTGTGTGGGGGAAGGGGGCTTGGCCCAGCCACACAGGGGTGGGGGGAGGGGCAATGACTCAGCCATGGTCCACCTCCTCAAAGAGAAGGGGGCATGGCCCAGCCCGGACCTCGCCAGGTGGTTGGAAAGGGGTTGGTATTCGAGCCCCACAAAGGAAGACGGCATAGCTTAGCTCCAAACCAACCATGCAGGGGAAGGGGCATGACTTGGTCCCAGCTTGTCCAGGTAGAGGGAAGGGGTCAAGACCTGGACAGGGGCAGGGAAGGGGAAGGAGGCATGAGCCAACCCTGAACCAGCTCCATGAATGGGAGGAGGAGGTGGACTGTCCCCAGTGAAATACTGCTTCTTGTCAAAACAGTAGAGGGATTTAAAGGAGGAAAAACATACAAGTCTGGAGGAGATCTTTGTACGAATATAGAAGTAGGTTTTGTTTTATTTTAGTCAAGGTAATTAACACTTTTTCCCCCTTTTTTTCCTTAGCTGTCTTCAGGGCAAAGAGTTATCAGCAGCATAAAGGCAACAAAAGTGCTGTCAACATATAGCATTCTAAAATAATGTCAACAATTTCTCTAGAAGCATTTTGCTTTGACAGATCAGGACTGTTTCCTATCATTTCAGCTTTGGAGTTTTGTCCAGACTCTTTTAATTTGATCCTGCAGTTGGAAGTGCATCTTTCCTTCAGGGCTAATGAGTGTACAGTCCAGTTTGTAGTTGAATGCTCCCTAGACATGCAGTGAAATGCTTATTCCTATGACCACAGTACCTTTTAGAAAATGAATCTCAAAGAAGCTTCAGATGCTATAGTGCAGTGTGATCTGGCATTGGAATATCTCACAGACAAGAAAAAAGAGGAGAGTTTTATTGCTGTTGGACTAGTAGTCTGTTATCTTGTGACTGCCCAGTTCCCTAACAGTGAAGCAGCCACAACTTCACTACAGAGTGCATATGTCCTGTTTTCCTGACTACAGTACATACAAACACGTATTAATGCATGGAAAGAAAAGTTTCAATCAACACATTTTCCTCTTCTATGAAGGCTTTTTGCAACTGTACAGTAAAGAAAGAAACTAAATGTGGAATAATGTGGAATTACTGATTCAAAGCAAAACAATCACTGCTATTGATATTCCTGAAGATTAAAATGTAATCATTATATTTTATAAATTGCTTAATATATTTTACTTAATGGTGAGAAGACTACTTGCGAAAAAACTTGTATACAAGGCAGTAATTAAATCATCTCTGTATGACTGTGGTCAAGGAATCCTACATATAAGACTGTTCTTTATTCATTCCCCCTCAACTCCTTGTGTATGCCCCAAGCCTAAACGCACTCAGGGTAATGGAGAATGGTTCTATCTGTACAGCAGGAACTGTTCTGTTCCTTTTAAACCCTGAAGCACAAGAACACATCGGGAGTTTGCAGTGAACTGGATCTCTCTACAATGTGCAGATGTGGTATGTAAGTTTCCAAGTTCTGTCTCCCTTTAGGCAGTAGAATCACATCAGTTCACTTGTGAGTAAGGATGTCTTCAAAATGAAACAATCCTTTTTTATTTCAAATACTGATTCTATAAAATTGTAAGTCACTTATTTCTCTGAGGCCACTTCTCATATGATCTGCTTTAGGGCTTCTAGCTAGGGAAATGCCCCCTGGAATGTGGGGAATGACTTTTCCATTCTTGTTTTTGACTTCTTTTCATGATTTACTTTTTCTTTTTCATTTTGGAGGAACCTTGCAGTTTGGAATTTTGTGTATGAAAGATGGATTTCACAGTAATTTGGATGCTTCCTGTGAGATATACGTATATGTTGAATATGCACTGGAGAATCTAAACTTACTTCTGTTAAATCTACTGATGGCAATAAATACATAGCTTTACTTTATGTTTGCAATATATTTCATGCTTGCCAGCCTGGAAGCACTCTAACCCACACTTCTGGTTGGAGTCATTTTATTTCATAATGCTTCTAGACAAAGTCTCAGTACAGACTTTCAAAAAGCCCAAGGCAGAACTGATCTAAATTATATGATATTCTATAAGTGGCGTAGTTTAGATTGGTAGTGAACAGAACATGCATGGTCGGGAGGGGAATCTTACACCAGGTCCCATCACTTTTAAACCAGTTTGTGTGCTGAACTCTTCTGCCCTGTGATGGTTAGAGACTGGTTTTTGATTGCTTATATCAGTAAAAGTGTAATGTCTGTACCTGGCCAAATACTTCCCTCCTAGGCTTGAATCATTCCAATCCATTTAGATCTTGAGAGTATAAATCAAGAGAGAGATTGGAGAGGTGGGCATGTTGGAATTTTGGTTTTAATCTTAGTTTGAAAAGTGAAAGTTTTCAGGGAAAATAATAAATGTATGTTAACCTTCACTTTTCTCTTTAGTGCTGGGATATTCTGGCCAGACATGTTTTTTTTCAGAGAGAGGAGGGAGAGGCAAAGTGAGAAGATAAGAAAATGCATCTGGATGCTCTTAGAGTGTTTTACTGGATGTTTATTAACACAACTACATAGGTGGTAGATTTACAATACAATCTCTGATACATCCTTGGTAACTTAAAGCCCTATTTTTTAAAACTGGAAACCAATAAACAGACCTTGGCTTATGGGAGATCCCCTTTCGACTTCATTGTGAAGCTCTGTTACTCCATATAAAAACCAGTGTAAACCTAGGGAGTAATGCATTTTTAAAGCTCAGCATGCTTTGTTTTCATTAAAGTATTACTCACCTTGTTCCCTGTGGGGGTATGTGTGTCAGGGAGGGCAATTAGTTTGGGTATAAAGCTCTGTGCAGATGTGTGGGGATGATTATAAATGAACGTTCTGCACAGCATTGAATGCACAATCAAAATCAGAGTCATATTTCTTGTAATGTTGCTCTCACTGTTTAGTACCATTTGTTAAGATATTGGATTCTTTCAACTTCTAGTGGTTTTGTTAGGAGCTAAAGGGTGCTTAGTATTATGCAGGAAGAGGCCCTTTTGGAACAGTGTGTCATCACTGGGTATTTCATACGGCACAAGGCCTACCGGGGTGGGGGCGGGGTCTCTCCCCTACCTTGGGAATCTCCAAGAGGAGACTGGACAAACACCTAACTGTGGTCATGTGACCCCAGCACTTTTTCCTGCCCAGGGCAGGGGGTCAGACATGATGACCTACTGAGGTCCCTTTAGCCCTAACATCTATGAATCTATGAAAAGGCAGTACTGTGCTGAGACTCACCGGGCCCATTTTGCAAATGCTAGTTCATATACCAAGAATGTATCAGTGCAGCACTGTACGCCTGCCAACAACTCTGTGTCTCAGCATGGAACTGCCTTCCAGCATAGAGACATGTCCAGTCATTTTTGCTCTTAAACAGTGAAGAGAGAAGTTCCTAGCCCCTCTCTTTTTTCAGCCTTCCTTTCTGCACAGGACCCAGGTCTAGCACATACATGCAGTACATTAAGAACCAGAATTGGACCTTTCCACATCTGTATTCCCCTGATTCAACTTTTGACACCTCATGCATAGCATCTAAAAGGCTGAGTTTCACAAAGGAAAATACAGTATTTATCCACATTTAAATGCTCTTTTAATTTCTCCAAAGGGTCTCCTAATATTTTTAGAGCTTTTGAAATGCAATCATTAGTTCTCCCTGCTGTTATGATTTTATTTATGATCATACTGCAGTACAGGAAATTACAGCTGTAGAAAAAATTGTTTGCCTTCCCAGTTTAATAGGCAGATGAACACTAGATTTCAATAGCAACGGGTGAATTGAATATGGCAAGCTACCAAAGCATCTGGTAGCCGTTATGTAAGGAGATTCTCCCATAGTGAACTGTATGTCACAAGGTGTTTTTGTTGCCATGGTAAATCTGACTGTTTTGTTCAGTATCAGTGTAAAACCTAGGGAGTAATGCATTTTTAAAGACTTGACTACTTGATTTGGAGTCAACTGTTACCCACTTCTTGCTTTCTGTGGCTGTGAGAGAGACGGGCAAGCAAGGTATATATGTAATAGGAATTTCTAGGTTTAATTTGTTTATTCTGGTTCAAATAACTAACAGGAAAGTTACCACAAATATTTTGTATTGTGGCACCTGTAAGTTTGTATCCAAACAATACCCTAAATGCCAAGGGATATGAAACCATTTAATTTTACTGGTTACTAAATTATAGCTCCATAATATCTTTGGACAAACAGCTTTTTCAGGATAGAGGGTCAGCTTTTTACTTTATGGGCATGTCTACATGAGACATTTACTTTAATTAGCTATATAGTAAACATCATGCATCTACACATGCACATCTATTAGGCTGGAATAAACTAATTTACTCTGCACCAGGATAGTATTTGTATAAATACTATGTTTTGTTCTACAGCAGCACATATGTAGACACTGCTGGCTGGGATGTGAGGGAGCTTCAGTGTAGGGGCTGCCTGCTGGCTAGCCCGACACTGAAGCATCCTCATGCCCCAGCCAACTCCTTCTCAGCATACTGAGCTGAGAGGAGCAACTATGGGCTAACAGGCAGACTGCCAGGGCCCCCTGCCAGGCAAGACTGCTTTGACCCAGCTGAGGACCCAGGTGCACATACAAATGGCACACCCAGTTCAATAAACTCTAGAGCAATATGCTCTGAAGTTTATTGCTTTGCATTAATATGCATGTGTAGATGCACTCGTATGATTCAAGAGCAGAACAGGCATACCCTCTCTTTGTGGTTTTTGGTGTCTATCAAGTTAATTTAACATCGTATGTTCAGTGTTTACAGCAAGATGCCCAAATGCCTAATAGGTGGCTGCACAATGTGGCCATGTGAGATGGGCACAGGATATCAGCAAATCTGACAAGACATCAGTGGGTAGAAAAGTGAACATCTGTTTCACTAAGCATGTACATTCCAGCCTACACATTTACAACTTTTACTGTTGCAAAAAATCAGTCCATTGTACCAGACCAAGTTCCAATGAATTGGAACTGCTTGCTTGATCCAATGATTCTGGCAAAGAACTGGGAATGGCAGCAAATAAAAGTTTAATGACACTCCAAGCCCGAAGCACAAATTATCTTCTACTCCCTTTCCCCCTTCACCCGCCTCTTGTTGTTTGCTTCATATTTTGGGGAATGGTGGCTATTAATTATTTTGGTTTCTTTCTCTCAAATCTAGAAAGGGACAAAGATGAAATAAAGATGAATAAAAATCATCCTTCAAAAGTAAAACAAAATCCAATTTCTTTTTTTTCCGTTAAGGTAGCAGACTATGATGTTCTGTAAAGTCAAACAGCAGTAAATAAAGTAAAACATCCCTTGATTCATATGGAATGAGAGAGATTAAATGAATTTAGGGAAACAGAGGCTCAGATTAGCATTGGAAGTGGGAAGTTTGGTGGGAAGTCTGAGTGCTTAAAAAACAAGATCTACTTCTGCCACAATGCCCACAAGAAGTTATGTAATGGTGGTAAGACTGTGCAATTAATAAAGATGATGGTTTGTGGTGTCTGTACATTCACAAGTTGACTTCAGGGGCCCTGCTGCATGTTCCAATTAAAGCTAGACAGACACCAACTATAGAGTTGTTACACATTTTGAAGTGCTAACTTTGCAGCTGGTTGGTTCTTTTTGTAGCTGGATAATCATTTATTATGTGATGGTTACTTTGCATGTGTTGCTGGTTTCAATTTATTCTGTGATTGATCAGTTAATTGTTGTCTGATAATTACTTTGCACTTGTGGCTGGTCTTACTTTGCTTGTGGCCAGTCTAAATTTAGTGAGTGATTAACTAGTTAATTGAGTAACATACATAAGTAACCTGTAGCAGGGGCCTAGGATTCCAAATTCTTTGATTAAAGTACATTACCTGTATAACAGAAATCTTATTATAGTTTGACCTGACTCCTCTGTACTGTCTGTTAGTAGTTTTACTCTCATTGTCTCATAACTAATAAGCAAATGAGGCTTTCCAGGCACTGTCTGCTGCTCTTTAGTTTTTCAACAAATAAATGGGACATCGGCCCCATTGTATTGCAGTAAAAAAGAAGAATAATCAAATTGCTGAGATCATTTAAAGAGGTGTTTACATTAATTGATTACTTCTATAATTCTAATTGATTACTTCCAATGGGAAAAATTACAGGAAACTATTTTCTGGATATTTAAGTAGCCTTACTAAGTGATCTGCTGCTAAGTAGTAGGAAATCACTTAGTAGATAACCCGGATCACTTACTAGGCCTCTGGCATTAATTGTGCAATAAAGCCAACCCATCCTCAGATGTAATTCCTTAAATGTTGGACATCTTTGTGGCTGGTTTGTATCTCACATTAACCTGAATGTGTGGCATTTTGCACATGGAGTGCCAGGGCTCAGGTGGGTTCTCCAGCATCCCTACTCCTGTGGGCAAGCTGGGGCTGTGCTCACAGCCCCAGCTGCTGCGCTGGGACATGGTCTCTCCCAGGGAAGTCAAAAATGGTCCACAGTCCCTATCAGGGGGGACAGGGTGCCTCCTCACCCCTGTGAGTGAATCAGGTCTATGCTTGCAGCTGTGTTTGCTGCCCTGGGTTCACAACCAGTCCTCAGCCAGCAGGACTGTAAACCCTTCCCCTTGCTTAGTCCTGAATCACTCTGGTTCTGTGCAAGGAATGGGACAGAGGCGAGCGGGCTCTAACTATCAGGGGATGGGTGAAGCCAAGTGGGGATTGCAGAGTCTATCGATCGTCTGATATTATCTGGTGAGTGCCAGTAAGACAAGTTCCTTTGCTACCTTTATGCCTTTCCATACAGCTGCCCTTGTGTCAAGCCAGACACATTTTCACCATGAGACAAAATTCCTCAGTACTTGTTGTGTAATGAAATAACATCTGCCATGGGCCATAGTTGAATATTTATTCATACTTATTCACATCTTCCTGAATTTTCCAGGGAGCATACCCCCCCATCAAAACATCAAACCCCAATATGCCCTTTAATTTCAATAATAAATTTCATATAATTAAAAATGAGAACGAAGCTGGAGCATAAGGCTAGTGCTGAAGGTATGAGGCTGAAAGCTAAATGGCATTCTACAGATTCAAAAATTATTTGTAATGTGTTAGAAATTACAAAGCAGGTTCTGTTTTTGTTTATTTTAAATAACCCACCTGAGCATGCATAGGCATACCTTATAAACAGAATAATAATAATTTAGGATAAACACTCTAATTATGAAATACTGCGTATTTTATTTGCTGCGCATTATGAATGTACAACTGAAAACCTTGAAATTGGGGGCAGAAGGCTCCAGTGTGTATGCCAGTGGTTGCAGAATAAAGAATGATTTTGATTACGAGTATTGGCTTTGTTTTGTCTTGTTTTATATGTTTGGTACATGTAGTTTGCAAGTATGAGGCACTTATTGATTAAGTAATGTATTTTCTGTCTTATGGATATGAATAAATTACAAGTGCATTGATTTTGTTCCTTATTTATTCAAGTTGCAGGTGTAATCATGCACAGTTCTTTTGTTAGACTCAAAGTCCATTTATACAGAAATAATTAGGATGTATTAAAGTGCCTGCAGTGTAAAGTCTGTCTGGTATAGAAGACATTTTTAGATTATGCTTGCACCTGCTACATTCATAGCTGAACTAGCAGAAGAACAACAGCACTCCACTGAGCTGCAGGTTACAGGGCGTTGTTTCTGCAGTGCAGTTTCTTTCCTTTTCTTAAAGTTGTATAATGAAATCTTGCTCCTCAGGAAATTTTTTGCTCTCTTTCAGAGCTTAAAAAAATACCTTTCTAAATTCCCTTCTATGTTAACAAAGTACTTTTTAAACTGAAATCTCTGGCTGTAGGCAAAGGTAACAACTGCTTCAAAAAGGGAGGGGAAGCTGCTCCTTCAGAATGCCCATAGGCTGTTATGTTGTAACTGTTACCTTTGCATGCTTCTGTCTTGGTAGAAACGAGTTAATCACTGTAACTTCAATCCTGAATGAAAGAGGTTTGAAGTGCAATGGTTTTGCCATTCTTGGATTGCTCCAGGAGCATGCAGATACAACAGTTATTTTGCACAATTACCAATCAACCACATGGGTCAGTCCTAATTAGCATGGTTGTTCCCTCTTCTACTGCAGTTTCCAGGGTGTGTTAGAGGTGGGGAATTTATTCAACTGTTAATAGCTCTGAAAAGCTTCCTGATAAAGCATCTCTTCTCATGCTGAATTGCAGATGAAAAGAAGAGTGTTAATATCCCATGCATATTTGCAGACAAGGTTCTTTGGGTAAATCTGATATTTTTATTAGACCAACGTTTATAGTTGGAAAAAATTTTCTTAGCAAGCTTTCGGGTTTCAAAACCGTTCGTCAGGCTGAGGAAGCATCTGTAGTTGGTGTGTGCTCTTCCTGTATGGAATGAATAGTAAAGAATCAGAAGCTGGTATGCATGCGAGACAGGCTGTCTGTGAAGATGTAAACTGAGGAGTCAGTGGGTGAGAGAGAGGCTGAGGGCAAGGAGAAGGGGGATGAATGTAGCTGGTAAATAGTGGCAAATTACCTGGGGATTCAGATGTCAGACAGGTTATAATGTGTCATATCCAATGTCTATATTTAGTCCATGACTTTTTTGTATCCAGGTGGTTGATGAAGTGAAGTTCATAGGCTTGTCTGTGAAAAGTGCTTTATAAGTTCTGTTTTGAGGATTAGAACTGAGAGATTGGAGAGAGAGTGGTTTCCTTGCGAGAAATGTGGCCCCAGAGGTAATTGGGTATTCAAGTGTGCATTCACTCTGGTGCACAGTTGTTGTTTGGTCTCTCTTACATATTTTCCATCAGGGCATTTGGTGCACTGGATGTGATATATTACATTTCTGGAGGTGCAGCTGCAAGATCGAGGAATGCTGATGGTGCTGTTGTGTGGTATAGTAATTGTGAGGGTAGTGGAGATGTGTTGGCAGGTATGTGTTGGCAGGTTTTGCATTTTTTGTCATAGCATGGTCTGGATCCATTCAGTGTGTTCTGGGCCTTAGGAAGTTTGCTTCTGGTGATGAGGTCGGCAAGGTTCAGTGCTTGTTTGAAGGCTACGATGGGTGGTTCTGGGACGATCTCTCTAAGAATAGGATCTCCTTCTAGTATGGGTTGCAATTGTTGGAGGATTTTCCTTATGGGTTCGAGGGAGGGGTGATATGTCATAGCCAGCAGTGTGTGATTGGGGGGGGGGCTCACGTGTACTGCAGCAATTCTTCACGTGGTATCTGGGTGGCTCTTTCAAATGTGTGATCTATCTCTCTGGAGGAGTGCCCTTGTTGAGTGAAGGCCTTTTTAAGATTAGTGAGGTACCAATCCCGGGTGTTCTTCTCAGTGCAAAGATAGTGGTATCTGAGGGCTTGGCTGTATATCATAGCTTTCTTGGTTTGTTTAGGGTGATCGCTGGTTCTGTACAGATATGTATGTTCGTCTGTGGGTTTCTTGTATACTGATCATCATGTCTAAAAAGTAAATGTTGGTGCTCGAGTATTCAAGAGACAGTCGGATGGAGGGATGATGACTGTTGAATTTCTGATGGAACTCAATCAGAGATTTCAGGTTTTCAGTTCAAATGATGAAGATGTCATCAATATATCTTAAGTATAGCAAGGGATTGACGGTGCAGTCCTCGAGGATTTCTTCTTTCAGGTGGTTCATAAAAAAGTTGGCATACTGTGGGGCCATTTTGGTGCCCATAGCTGTGCCCATAGTCTGGAGGAAGTGTTGGTTATTAAAAGTGAAATTGTCGCATGTGAGGATGAAGAGTATAAGGTCAATAATATCTTTGGATCTGTACTCTGAGTTGTCATCTTGCTCTCATAGGTATGTAAGGCAGGCTTGGATGCCATCCTGGTGTGGGATGTTGGTATGTAATCAACTTCATCAACTTTCTGGATACCAAAAATAATGGACTAAATATAGACATTGAATTTATGACACATTATTACCTGTTTGAAATCTGAATCCCCAGGTAATTCACCACTATTTACCAGCTACATTCATCACCCTTTCCCTACCCTCAGCCTCTCTCTTGCCCACTGACTCCTCAACTTACATCTTCACTGACTGCCTTTCTTGCATGCATACCAACCTCTGGCTTCTATACTATTCATTCCATCCAGGAAGAGCACACATCAGCTGCAGATGCTTCCTCAGCCTGATGAAGGACTTTTAAACCTGAAAACTTGCTAAGAAATATTTTTTCAACTATAAAAGTTGGTCTAATAAAAGATATCAGATTCACCTAAAGCACCTTGTGTGCTTATGTCTTAGACCAGTATGGCTACAACCTATACCCCTGTAATCATACATATTTGCACATTTTTCTGTCAATTATTATATCTATGTATAGAATTACTCATCCCCTGCCCCCTTTATTCCAACAGAATCAACCTAGTGCAATATTAACAAGAACTTACAGAAAAAAATCCAAGTTTGCAACAAAGTCCTTATAGCAAGAGCATATTGGTTCCTACAAAAGGAAAGTGAGGTATATGGTAGGGCTGTGCAAAACAGCATCATTTTGTCTTGACCTCTGTTTCACCATTTCAAAGAGACTGTGTTTCATTTCATTGTTTTGTTTTGAAGCACTATTCTGTTTCATTTTGTCAAAACAGTTTTGCTGTTTCAATGCATTTCAATGTTTCAACTTGGTCAACATGCCTTTGATTTTTATTTATTTTAGGCATGGTTACAGTAGAAATGGATCAAAGAAATGTTCATAGAAGGAAAATATAAGCAATTCTTTATCAAATGACAGTTGTAGATGCAGTAACAATCAACACACCTCCAGTTAAATACTCTTCAGAATATGAAGTAGCTAGTCACCAGAAAACTATAGTTTAACTATGGGACCTAAAGTTGATGGTTCTGAACAATAATAGAATTGATATGCTATAAAGAACTCAATGGTATTTTCAGATTAAAGAATAAATTATGTTACTGATACCCCGGGAGCTTTATTATACAGAACAGTTTGTGATAAAGAACTTTTAGAAAATCAAACTCTGACCTTTAGAATTTTAGATTTTTCATTAATTTTACCCTCTTGATTGTCAGAGTGGAATTACTGATGATGATTGAACTCAACATATTAGACATCTTGTGAGCAAGAGCGTGACTGAATTTTTATACTAGCAATACAAAACATGCTAAAGGCCTATTGAGACACTATGGTATTTATACTGCTTCTCTCATGACTAAATTGAAAATGTTATTGTGATGTTTTTATTGTGATGTGTTTAGATAACTTTTCTTCCAGGAAATAAAATTAATGCTTTCATTAATAATTCAGACTAAAAGATTGTGCCTTATTCAAATTAACAAACTGAAAGCTGAGAAGGGTTATGATTGCTGTGTATGAACACAAGAGGGGGAGGTGGTAAACAACAGGATCAAGAAGAACATTTAACTTAAAAGGACAGTCTTGCAATAGGAACAAATGTTCACAAACTGGCCATGAATATAATTAGGCTTGAAATTAGAAGGAGAGCTCTAACCATCTGAGGTTCTGGAATATCCATCTGATAGGCATAGTGGAGGCAAAGATGTAGCTAGTTTCAAGATAACTTGATACATTTTGTCATATGAATATGACATAATTGCCTGCGACAATAAAACAATGGGTTTGATGGCATGGCCAGTGCCTTAGTTATGCATTCCTAAGTCACATACTCAGAGGCTTTGCAAGCTCCTTTGTTGCCTTGGGCAAAATTAGGGGATGGGGTGTGCTGAGAGGCATACATGAGGTTCCAGGTGGTGCCCAGGACCCTTGGGGAGAATATAGCAGGGCTCCTGGGTCCTGGTAGCTAGGGACTTTACAGAGAGGGAAAGGAGACATGGCAGCTTCACCAGGTCCTGGCAGCTATGGGGGAAAATACTCTCCAGCTAAAGAGTTATGCGTCTTGCCTGCTGATCCACAGGTGCCACCAAATGCTAGGCAAAGTGAAGAAATAAACCCCCCTAATTTAGGAGCAGGAGAACCACCCTATCTTCACATGCTGCTTCTTTCCCCCAAGTACTTAATTGCCAGGACCCAAGCGTCTCCCTAACATCACTTCTGGGCTCCTGACCTCTTCTACAGAGCCCAAGCCTGGAGCTGCCAGACCAGTAGCATAGATGCATCTAGTCCACTGCTGCCCAGCCTTGGTTTCAGTGTTCCACACACCCCGCTTCCCTCGTGATCCTAGTTACCCTACTGCATTTACATTCCATCAAAAAAAGAAAAATATTTCCCTCTCTTATTAAAGAAAATACTGAACAATAGCTATGCTGCTGTCAGGAATGCCCTAGCTTCTGATATAGAAGTATTTACTGATCCAGCAAGATTTCCACTTATCTGCCATTTTCTTTAACTAAAGAATTCATTATTTAAATATACCTTAAAACATTAATCTCTTTCTTACATTAAATTAATAGTAGGAGCAAAACATTAAAAAATCCAAGCCTTTCTCTTTGTTTTTTTGTAAATGTTACCTAGACATTTTAGTCTGGAGTATCTTTATCCAAAGGTTAAAGAACCATGGATCTGATCCTAGTCAGGACTAATGTAAGAAGTACTAGAAGAGTACAATGACTATTATTTACAATAAGTGTTTTGTCACTGGGTAAAGAGTCTCTTTTGTTTTGGAGTTGCAGAGTTGAATTTTATGTTACTCTATCTGCTTTCCCCAAAGCATAGCAATATATATATGAATTAGAAATAAGAGTGGAACATTAGCCCCATTGAATTGGAAAAGAAATAAAGTGTGTGCATATGTGTAGTAAATCCCAGCCAGAAATAAACATAAGCAATTTAAACTTTAACAAAGCAAACACAATAAACATGCTTTGATATTTAAGTAAAATATGTAAGCAGGTGTATATGTTGGAAGTGGGAACTGAAAAAGAAAAGTCCATTTGCTTTGACTTCAAGGTCAGCAATATCAGGGACTTTTTCCTTTTTCTTTCTTTTTTTTTTCTTTTTTCGTTTTTCTTTTTAAATTAAAATGCTTTTAGAAATGTCCTCCTGGATTGTAACTCATGTCCTTTCAGCAGCTCCCAGACATTAATATCTGTGGAACTCTAGTGACAGGAAACTATCCGACTTTATCTTTTGTGTAACTGAATTGAGAGAAAGGTTACTCAGGACTTAATCATGTTGGGTTTAAAATAAATAAGCATCCACACTTGATCAGTATCTGCATGTTACAGGGGACTAATGCAATCTATGGACTGTTTAGGTTACTCGCTCCTTTTATTCCATTTCAATTTTGTATAATTTCCTTACAAAGTTTTATGAACTCATTTTTTTCCACAAATAATACATAGGTTGCCTCTCTCAGTAAGCGTTTGTATAAAACAAGAATCCAGAACCTGTTGAGTGTGTGTGTGTGTGTGTGTGTGTGTGTGTGTGTGGGTGTGTGTGTGTGTGTGTGTGGGTGTGTGTGTGTGTGTGTGTGGGTGTGTGTGTGTGTGTGTGTGTGTGTGTGTTTTAAAAATAATTAACCATGATTTATACTTCTATATTTCAGGTTAACAGGATTTCATCTTCCTCCACCTGTGACAAGTACAAAATCTGTATTTTCACTACGTTTGACAAGCGATTTTGCAGTTAGTGCCCATGGGTTTAAAGTATTCTATGAAGGTAAGAGAACATGATTATTAAGATTTTTAACAAAAGGATTTGAAGGGCTTTCCTTATGCCTAGATATGAAAAAAAATAACAAAAAATATTTTTAGTTAAACTGAGCCAGGTACATTTATTTATCTAGTAAACTTTAAAATATCTATTTTTAGTGCAATCTTTCAAGTTGTATAAAGTCTACCATCTAACATAAATGGTTTATATTATAAATATTCTATAATCAGTTTCTTGTTTTGCCCTCAACCTGGTTTTTCTATCTTCTATCTTTATGCAATGAGTTTAGCACTAACATTTTAGATAAAATTTATTTCATAACTTTTAAATAATTGCAATACTATTGTTAGTTTAAATCAATACCATGTATCTGAGGTTTGCTATGCTAAATGAATCTCTTTCAGTGAACTTTATATATAAAATTAAATATTTAAAATTAAATATTCAAATGAAATAAATATATTTAATTTATATATACAGTTATATATAGAGTAATTTATGTATATAGTTGTATGTCTACTACATAGAGATATAAATATATAAATTAAAGAGGCTGGTATTGTTATCTTTGTAATTATTTCTATTTTATTTATCCACTTGTGATGCTTTAAGGTGGTGATCAAGGAGGCAAATTTCTTCCAATAACTAATAATTATAGGTTCTGCACTACATGAGTAGTTTTGTTTTGTATATAATAAGTGAGTTTATGGCTAAGTTCTTTAAGATGTCAGCCCCGCTGTCAACAAACCATGAGCATCTAACACAGGGCTTGCAATATGCTTGCAGATACCAGTTAGCTTGTGTTGACACACATCTCCCTGGACTCCAAAGGACGGTGCATTTTACTTGCATGGTGAAAAACTCCCTTTTATGATAGCCTTCATTCTTAGCTAGTGTTTGAATATGAATATTGGGTCACCTCTGTCAATCTGGTCATCTGTTTCTAGATTGCAGTGCAGGGTACAGCGTACACTTCTGCATCCAGAACAAAATCTGGCATTTCTTCTTATAAACACCAGATGTAAGAGTCCTAGGCAACTAGGTCATCTCTTATTGATTCTGAAACACAGCTCGTTTCTCCTCTACAGACGTCTGTCAGCCAAAAAGGAGCCTTAGTAACTTGACACTTGTGGCTCTGAGGGCTCTTATTGTACCATGTGTGTTCCTGCTGACCAATGTGATTTAATTTCTGTGAATTAAACCAATTGGAAGCAGCACTAGTTAGGAAGGGGTCTGAAGTCTGATTTTCTTCATAAGGATGTTTCATAGGCATACATACGACACCCATGAATAGTGTGAGGTGAATTTGTTTCCTGCTGTAGACAATGCTATAAACTACGTGCGTGGATTCTGCCAGGTATTACACGGTTTAATTAATAATTCACAGAGTGCTTTCCTATATAAAAGAGATCATGTTATATTTAAGGCAGACTTTGTAGCTTGAGTTGAATTTCTTTGGTGGCTTTGAGGTCTTTCTCTGTTTCCCATACAACAGAAAGGTAATTTAAAAAACTAA